AAGAAAAAAACGACGTCTCTCGGAGGAAGATCGGCGCGTTCCCTAAATAAAGCGTGTGGCCACCCTCGCCCACCCTCGGGCGAGTTCGTATAAAAAGGGCTGTTTATGATTTTTCTATTGAAGCGTAACTAGGTGGCACGCGAGGTGGTACGAGTAATAAAGTCCTTTACGCGGCAACTAACCGCGGCGGTGGGTTTGGGCCGGGGATTCAGCCGAGCTGCCGCGTGCGTTTATCGTTTACTATCGACGTTACAGCCGGTCGTACACATAAATCGCTTTACGATCTGTCGCTAAAAACGGATTTCATGCGAAAGTAGGTAGCTGCTGGTAGGTAACCGCAACCGCGCGTCGCCCATCGTTCGCGCCGTGTGACTCGTGAGAAGAAACCACCGCACTGCATAGCCCCGCATCGCCAAGCCATCGATATACACGAACATTTCGCAGCAGGCGGAATCGCCGATCGATCGAGGGAATCGCGTTTCGACGCGGCTGTTTCGCGCCGATTCACGAAACGCGCGCCAACATTTCCATAATCACCTCGCAAACATAGCTAACGATCCGTCTCATCGCGAAACGAAAACGCGCGAATGTAACGATTCCCTTTAGAAAGTGAGGAACGCCTTTTGCGAAAAGTCCGTTCCGGCAAATGATTCACTCGGCAAATTTCTCCAAGCTGCTTGAAATTTCCAATTACAATGATCCTTACTGGCGATTAAAGTAATACACAATTTCCACATTTCCATCGCCGGAATTGTGGAAATGGCGTACAAATTTCTCGTCAACGGTTTACCGGTCGAAGCGATATATTTTCCTATTCGTTTCGACAAGAGCGGCGCCGTTCATCGTCGCGAGCGTTTTCAAGGATCGTCGATAGGGCGAACGCGAGAGCCGGCTGCGAGAGATCGGAAACGAGCGAGGAGCGAAGAGTAAGAGGAGGAAGAGTAGGGGAGTGGAACGTGAGCGAAACGGAGGACAAGATGATGGATGGTCCCTCTCCACCCTTAGCTGTGCCGCGCGCGCGAAGTGAGGGCGTCCCGACGCTGACGACGATGCTGACGCTAATGAGCAAAATATGAGGCGCCACCCTGCCACCCTCCTCCTCCGTCTTTCCACCCTCTCGCTTTCTCGCCCCCGCTGGCTCTCTTTCTCGCCTGCCTCACCGCCTGGCCTCGCCAGGTATCGATTGTCGTTCGCTTAAAGACCAAGAAGAGGAAGAAGAAGAAGGCGACGTGAAAACGAGGAGGAGGATAGGTTTCGTTTCGGGAACGCGAAAACAAGACGATCTATCCGTCTGATTACTCGCACCGTCCTCTTCCTTCCTCGATTCCTCGCGTATATTCCATTCTCGGTTTGTCTACGTGCATTTACCGTATCTTGATCGCCGTCGCAGTTGTCCCTCCTCGGGCTGACGATAAATAATGAGCCCCGAGCGAAATTCTAGATACCGAGAGGAATCTTTGTTTCGTTCGCCTCTCCCGGATAAACATTGTTGTACGCGGTATGCCGTTGGAAATATCCTCGGCAACGTGGTTACATTTCGCGCGACCGTAAAATATGTTAATGAGAGAACAAGAGGATGAAAAAGGAGAACATCTGTCCGTACGGTCGTGTTGCGGGTCGCAGAGTAGCAATCATCCCGAGAATGCCATTTATCGTCAAATAAAAAAATAAGAATCATCGACAATAAAAATATAAAAATAACGTCATGATATTAAGCGACCAGGTAAAGCACGTCGAGCGACTTGACGAGGAACTTTAGTTACTTTTCGTCCTCCAACGATATCAAGCAACACTATCATTACCACCGTCATCGCCACCTAGCATTTACCATTGTCGCCATGGGGTTAGTGTCGGATGTCCACACTCGTTTTTACCCTGTACGAGATGCTCCAACGACGAAAAAGGGACCCGTTTAATTTCATTTCGCTGGCACCGCCCCTACCCTCGACGCCCGGAGCGACGAGGCACCGCGAAAAAGAAACTCTTCGACGTTTTACGAGCACCTTCCATCCTCCATCACGTTTCGCGCCAGTCTCTCAACAAAGGGAATCTCGAAAATGCTTATCGTCCGCACATCGTCCGCGATGCGACCCTTCATTAAATATCTCGCGGTTCGCAAAGTCTCATCTTACACCATGCAATTCTTTATCGACTAATGATGCAGTGTTATATAAATGTTTGAAGGCTGTGGAATTTATAATCGTGTAGGCGTAGACGGATGACTCGTATTCGAAATGTCATGTTCGGAAAATTCAGATTTAGAAAAAGGATAATAATTCTATTGAAAAAGTACATTACTATATGTCATAGAATTAATAACGCATCGGATATATTTTAAACGCGACGAGGAGCGGATGAGTTGGAAAGAAACTTTGCAACTATCCATAATGCAAATTCTCTTGGTCTCGCGCATCTCCGCTTCTTTTATTGGGTCACTTCATTTTTGCGGTAACGATCCCGTTTCGGTATCACGCTTAGCACTACGACCGAGACGCAGAAGAAAGGTTTTTGCGACGCGGCTAGCGGCGAGAACCCGCTCGCAGCCTCGTTAGAAATTACCGTGCAGCCCATCCTTCTTGCCGTTAATGAAAGCCAGGTTCTATGCGGCGAAGATTATTCGCGGTTTTTACACGTCGAGGCCATTCAACGCACAGACGAAGACGCGCAGCCTCCTGGTCCACGGGAGAAATGCAGAGGACTAACAAAAGGAGACGGAGAAGGAGAGAGAGACGAAGCGAGAAAGCGACAAGGGAAGACTAATTAATTTGGCAAATCATCGCATCGCAGTGTAAACAGGGTGGTTCGATCTGTCTTTCCCGCACAAAGGGGGTGTCGACCGGGATGAACAAGGGCGACGGCGGGGGGTGGCGCGGGGGGTTCGCCAGCTCGCGAGGGTGATATCAAAGGGGAAGACGAGGGATATCAATCCCCGGAGAAGCCACGGACTCAGCCTCCGTCGACTGTATAGCCGACGCTTCCGCAGTTCTCAACCGCGAAATCCTCCGTTCGAAATTTATCGCCATCGTAACCGAACACTTCCTTCCCCGTAAGCTGGTTCCCGTAACGCGAGTCGAACCTTCTTCGTGGTTTTCTAAAACGACTGATGTCATCGATGGATCATCTCTTTTTATCTCTTTCTCTCGGACAGTCGTATTTATAAATAGCCATATTTATATACATCTGGCTTGCGATGGCTTCCACGCGAAGCGTTAAATCTTCCGGCAAGTGAAAAACTATCAGATTATCCGGAAGTAGTTTCGCCCTCACCTAGCCAGACGTCTCACAGATAACCTCGACTTTTCATTCTAAACGTCTCGTAGTAAAAATAAATCATCTGGATCAAATCAGATATCATACGCAAAAATAATTTTGTTCCATTTATAAACAGTTTTCATATATAATGATCGAAAATTATTACAAATCTATAATTTGCAATTAATTTTTAAATCCACAAGGGCAATACTAAAATTTAAAACTTTGTATTGATCGATGAAAAGCTAACATATGAATACAAATGGTTTTTAACTTTTTACAGTTCTCGACTTGTGCAATTTTTACAAAACCAGACGCAGAGTTTAAGGTCTCCATCGTTGGTTGAAATTGCGTGACAGTCGCCAGTTCGGGTATCAACGGTGACATACAAAGAACACTGGGCTTTAGCGCCACAGCTTCTGCTCGCCGTTGTATCTTATCGGAAGATCGGACTCGATGCGAGGTCAAGGCGCGCTATCGCAACCACGCGATCCGCCACGAGTCGAAGGTATACGAGGTCACCCTAGTTCTCTGATCTGGATGTCTTCCTCGACAGCGGTAACATACGAGCGCTTCACATGCCTCCGAAATTCACGGGATTGCGCGGCGATCCCGTCGATATAAACCTCACGTGTTTTATTTCGGTACCAAACGCATTAAGAATCTGCACGATTCTTCGCAAAAGACTGCCTCGATTCGACAAAAAAATCATCGATACTTTGAGCAAACTGACACGAGACGACAGCTTTTCCTGGTCTTTGTCCAAGCTGACCTGAATTCGCGCGAGCTTAATAACGACGACGAAAAGCGTAAACAGCGATCTAAGGGTGGAACGACATGATGATGGAAGTCGTCTGGAAGAAGGATTCACCAATCATTATGGAATTCTCGGGAAGTTGGGGTAATCTGGTGCTCGCGCGATCGTCATCCGGGATCGTTGGTAGACGTCGCTGCTTGGTTATCTTGGACCACCGACAAAAGCCGACGTAGAATATGAAGGAAATCGTGAGCACCCCTACAGACTCCTTTCCTCTCCCTGTCAGTTGCCTGTCTCTTTCTCTCTCTGTCTTCCTTTTTCCGTGTCACTCTCTCTCTCTCTCTTTCTCTCTCTTTCCCCCTCTCTCTCTCCCTCTCTCTCTCTCTCTTGCTCAGCCGTCTATACATCCGAACAGTCGTCGTTCCATCTCTATCCCATCTCCTTTCTCTCTATCGAGGTATAGGGAGCCGAAGGGGTGTGCCGGGCGCGCGGGGTGGTTCTTTCCCTCCTGTGACGGAGGAGTTGAGAGTGCCGTTGAATATGCATGAGAGCTCCTATCTACCATCCTAAAAACATTCAGTCGACGCTGAAGCGACCGATGCTCGGACCGACCGCGCGCCTCGTCGCTCGCCAATCAATGTCTCCGACAGGCCCGTCTTACGAAAATTTCTGCGAGACGATTCCTTGTAACCACGAGCATGGGAGTGAGGAGATACTCCCGCGTTTCTTCCTCGACCTAACGCTACCATTGCCAGCAGACGTGCGCTGACATTTTTATTCCGTGGAAGAGAAACCGCGGGGTTCACTGTACCTCGGGGAATGTTTATTTCGCTGAATTTAGATCGCTATTTTTACCGATGTATCAGTAGCTTCTGATTAAATTTTTAATACCGAGAAACTAGATCTGGACAAAATGTTGAGGTATAAAATATTTTATCAATTTCTTTCTCTTTTTAGATCCATCATTAAATTTATTTTCCTTTCGTTTCAGGAAAAATATGTCATCGTACGGCGTGAATCATACATAAAGCGTATCCGTGTTTCCTTCTCTCTCAGGTACGTATGACAAACTTGAACGTGTCATCTAAACAATTTGCTAAATAATTATACACTCTTTTCGCCGGAATAAATTCGACATTGGAATTCGTTCGCGCTGCAGATTAGTTTTATCGCGACGATCACCGGGCCATAATTATGTTGTAACAGCGCGCATAAATGCCGGCGTGTAAAGTGAAGCGTGTTAAGCGTGACTCAATTATCTTTCGAATCAGACACGGAAGACGCAGTGTGTCTGAAATATATGGCTCTCGATCCCGAAGAACGCGAGCGCGCGATCTCGGCCGCGTGCACGCGCGCGCTACTTAACTACGCGAGAGCGCGTATATACGCAGGAATGCTTAATGCATTCAAATGATATTCACTCTCGCGCCGCTGACGCGAATGCTTTCGACAAATTAACGCCGTGTATCGAATAACTATCTACCGCTGTGTTACACGCGAGAACGCGCATGTGTGAAGCGCATACACGCGCGCGCATGGTTTCTCGAGCATCTTGTAAATCAAACACACGATCGGTCGTTCCGATAACGCTTCCCCGGCGTTTCGCTCGATATAATTCCGCAGAGGAGCATTCGTGATTACATGTAAACGCGCTCTCTTCGCGGCATCTAATATTAATTCATACACCGTAGGGGAGTCGTGCCGCAACCTGATAACCCTGTCTAGTAACTACCGATAGTTGCTCGGGTAGTTGCGTAATCGTGTACGTCCATTTCGCGGACACCTTGCTAAAGATAAGTAATCGCTGACTGTAGACTCGAAGGTCTCTCCTCGCTAGGTGCAACGTGGATCATTTTCAAAGAGCTCCCGAGTTGCACGACGAGAGACCCGAGTTTCAACCTTCTCCCTACCGGTGTACCAGGATTACCTATTACATCGAGAAGAGAATTTTTCTGCTCCCTGTCTACCAAGTCCGAATGAAACCTGGTCAAAGCTGATGAACATGGTTCTATCGCCATCTCTCGGTGATGCCAGAAGGCAAGGTAGCCATTTTGTTTCTGGAGGTGGCCAGAAGGTCGCCGTGGTGTCGCGGTACACCCGCGCATGTCCATTGGTCCCTCCTACGTTGTCCTCGCAGCGGCGGCTTCTCTTTCGTTTCGCTTAAGCGACAACGAGAAACGTACCCCTCTCCACCGGTTCTCCCCTTCTCATCCCCCTACGTAACGGACTCCCCCACTTTGGGTCCGCGACTTCCCCACCTCGGGGAACTCGACCACCTTCCCTTTTGTACCCGCCGCACCCTCTGGCCGCCGTCGTCGAGGCAGAAACGTCGCTCCCCTCGACCCCTCTCGTCCACACCGCCTTGCCTCCTACACGGCCACTACCATTGTCGTCTTCTCCTCCGGTTCTCTTCCACCTCCAACAGCAACGATCCCACCCGTTCCACCGTCGCGCGATATTATCACTCCGTTTTACTCGCGATTTATCGGCCTTTATCAACTACATTGCCGCCGAACGGTGTGTATCGTTGCTGCCTGCCTCGGCTGCCGCCAGCGCGATCGCTAAACCCCATTCCCGGCTACGATCCGCGCCAGGTTTCTCTCCACCGCGCCACGGCATATCCTCGTAAATCAACGCCGGTGGTTTTGATCGTTGTCGTCCGCACTGAAAACCGCAAAATCGAGCGACCGACGCTGCTGCCTTCTCACCGGGTCGTCCGAGAGACGGTTGTGACGTCAAACTCGCGCCACGATGATTCTTGCTCGTTTCGCGCCATCGCGCCAATCATTTTCGTTCAATGACGATATTGAACACGTACGCGATGCTTTCATCCCGGAATACCGGGAAAGAGGGTGGCTATTTGTATGAAGCTGTTTAATCTGGAGTACTAATTTGCATACTAATAAATAGCAAAGTTGGAGCATCATGCTGCGTTATGAAAAATGCGTTGGAACTTTGCACAAATGGAATATTTATTACAATATCCCTTTTTAGAATCGGTGGAAAAATATAAAAAGAGACGAGGCTACAACGAGAGAGCGAAACCTGAATTAATGATTCAAAGCGTGACGTTTCTCGAGTACGGGTTTCGCGAGAGCAATCGAGATGACCTTCGTCAATTCGCTGCGTTCGCGAATGAGATGATCGACTTATCGGGCCAATCTCGGCGTCTTTCTACAGAAACATATAATCGGGATCGCTGCGAAATAGGGAAACGATGGCGAGCACGATGATTATTCCAATTAAAAACTCGTCAAGTGGCCGATAACTAGGTTTTCATGCGTCACGTTTTACCTCGGAGTCGGCGGAGAGACCTCGTAACACGACCTTTATTTAACGCACGCGGCTCCCACGTTCGCGGAGCGATTAGACGTTAGATTCCGACGTTTCTCAGAGTCGCGCATCCGTCCTATCTCGCATCTTATCGTCTCTGAAGCCGCCTCGCGCATACCACGGCGACGTTGAACTTTGCACGAGATTGCGCGCTCGATCCAACCGACTAGAGATTTAACGCTAGATCCAACGTTAGTGCCGCGCGTTAGTAGTCCCGGTGCCACCGATCGCTCGCCTTATCGGCTCGCTAACCCGGATCGAACCGGAGATTGAGCGAGTCTCCCGCGATACACGGGAGACACTCTTTCTCTTCTCCACCGGTAGATTCTTTCCCTCTCGTTCCAGCTCGGGAACAAAGCGATCGCCGCGCGACTCCATTTCCCGTCGTCATAGTCGTCGCTTCACATCCTGTTCCCGACTCCGCGATGTGCTCTCTCGCGGACTCCAACGCGAGAGGGGACACTGCCCGCTCGCGCGCACTTTCGTTTTCGCGCGCGCATGTGTGCGTTCTCGTTACGCACGCGTGTGCGTATGTGAAATGCGTACGCGTGTTCGATGCGGTTGCTCTTACACGTACATATATACCGTGCACATATATATATATATATATATATATATGTACGTACGGTTGGGTATATATGTATATACATCGGAGGCACCGATGCACGGTAGAGTGCTTTCGAGGCGAGTGCAGTACAGACTCACGCTGCTGCACGGTCTGGTGATTAGCGCCGCCCCTGGGGGATGGCAACCGCCAATCGGTGAATGGCGTCGCGGCGCCCGACGTCGTCGCCGGGAATATCCCCTGCGGGTCTGCACAATCGCGGATATAGCGGATAGCGTCGGGCAAAGCCACGACAAAAATCAATCACTCGCTGCTTCCTCTTGTTCGCGATGCTCTCTCCCTCTCGCTCCCGTCTCATCCATCCCGTCGCGCGCTCCTATTTCTGTTTCCCTCTCTGGTTACACGGCTCTCTCTCCTTCTCCTACATCGCTATCGGCTCGCGCTCGGTGTTTGCGCGAGCCAAAACTACGCATCCACCGTAGTTGCGCGCTTTTCTTTTAGTTTACCTTTCATGATATCTCGCGACAGCCATCGGGTCTGCGAAAGGCTTCCCGAAATCGTAATAAGCGAAAGAAGCAACAGAGTCGATGGTAGATGGTTAATTGTGATGTAGAATCGCAATAAATTTCACCGAAGGAACAACAAGATACGACGATCGATGTTCCCGAGTATCCCGAAGAAAATACGTGAGAACGGCTTTGTGCGGGACTTTATAATCGCCCGTTGTCGAGGTGTCATGTACGAATCCTACCGTCGCGAATCGACCGATTTTTCTCGCGCGATCTTCCCACGTTCCCTCGCATATCCCGCGCGTATCATTCTTGCTCGCGTCGATCCGCGTCCTCGTCGTCGACGACACGCGAGAACGGGACGAGGACAAACGCGGGATCCTAGACGTACCGGGCTGACCGACGACCCGCCTTGAATTTCATTCACACACCGCGAGGTCGAGTCTCTCGGTCTACCTACGCGGAATACAAAACAATGTTCCCACGGATCGGACGATACGGCGTCAGCCGAAATGAGAGAGACGCATCGGTCCTCTCTTCGAGACCTTCCCCAAAATTTACTCGTCCAAGGAGGAAAAGAACGTTGAGTTATAGCTGCAACTTTGGAACGTAACATTTATACCGTACAATTGACCTCATTCTACCAACAGCTAATTTCCATTTTGCAGACTTAACTTTCAGTCACTCGGCGAAGTTTCGTATTAAATCAAGAATTATCTCCCTGGCTTGTGAGTTTTACCAAAAGATTATTATCAGCGGGAGAAGAAATAGGATATAATTATTTTATCTTCGCCAAGGATTTATAATTATCATTCTTCCATTTAATTCTTTCGTCTCTTTCCGTTGCATAAATTTCCCGGGACTACGAGGTAACAAAGTTCCCACAGCAAAATATAAAAGCGATATTTCTTACTAAAGTCACCCACGGTATATCGCTTAGCGAAGCCATCGTCACGTCAGCGGACGTGGTTATGACATCAAATCGATCCGCGAGCTATCGAGCGGCAAACTTGCCGCGCGCACGAGCTTTCGAAGGAACTTTCGCAGCCTTCAGCTTTCTCAAAGAGCCCCCAGAGTTTCTACGACCGTGCGTCGTGCGATTTTCATAAATTAAGAGCGGAAAGCGCGCGTATACACGAGCGCGACAGAGCGACCCCTCGGAAGGGAGGGAGGAGGGAAGGCGAACGAAGGCAGGGAGAGAGAGAGCCGAAGTGACTGAAAACATCCCATGGCGATAAGAATCTCCCGGCGATTAATTGGTATGACAGCGGCACACGTTGCCGCCGCGTTAGACCGCGCGGTGCGCCAGCCGTGACAGCGCGTCCGTATATCTCGCGCGATATCTCCTTATGACGATGCCCGGTCGACGACTCCTTCTCCTCCCTCTCTACCGCCCTCTCGGGTCCTCTCGTCTACCTGTGCCGGAGGGGCAGAAAAAACACGAGGGGTGTCGAGGAGACGCGCTCCCGAGGGCGCCGATAAAGAGGAGATCGCCCTTGCGGCACGTCGCGATACGAACGCCTGCAGTTCTCACCGGAACTGTAGTTCCGGGAAAAGCCTGTAGAGAGGCCAGCTGCCGGAAGTCGCCGGGATGCGAAGCGCCGCGCTTTACCGCGCGAAAGCTCGAGCGAGGAGGGAACTTTGGTCGC